CGTGAGTCTTGGATAGAATTGCTCCCATCGAGAGAATGGACGACGCCTTTGACTAAGAGCTCCAACGGGCTGGTAAACAGGGCACCCTCACACACTTGTGGGGCCTACCCTGGTGGGCAAGTGCCTTAGCACTCGTCTTGGGCAAGGAGCTCCAACCCACAAGATTTCATACTTTCAAGAACGCACAAACCAAAGCCAACACCTGCAAGGCGCCAATCGGCGCTCAACATCCGCCATTGAGCCAGTCGGCAGCTCAATGTGGCTCCCTGTGAGGCAGTTGAGCCCTCCTGAAGCAACACAAGTGTCAGGTAGGTTGACTTCTCTTGCACGCTCGCATGGTGAACACAAGGAGTTCCTAGCGGCAGTACTGTCCTGGCTCAAGCAGGTCTGCGAACCGAGTACCCTCATCCAGGCCAGCGACCCAATCGTGACCCTAAGTGTCTCCAGTCTCAACACATCAAGGGAGAGTGAACAGGCCATGGAGTGCCGATTAGACCTCACAACTCTATCTGGCACAGTCGTGGAAATGTCCACTGGCGTTGCGCAATATGACAGGCTTGAGGACTTTGAAGACCACGTTTGACCTTCGATGGCTGTCCACATCGAGACATCCCGCAAGCGGTCAAAGTGCCAATGAACCAGGCAGGGATCATCCCCTCCAGTGCCTTTCTAGCTGTTCCGCGCATGCGCCATGTGAGCATCGAGGCAGGCATCCTGCAGTTGGAGCCCAAGCTTGGCAATGCTGTCGCCATCTCCGGGTGGTCAAAATGCCCAGTACTGTTGTGCTTATTGAAGAGAACGCCTTTCGAGGGTGCCACTTGCTCAATAGCATCACAGTACCAGGCTGCATGGAGTTTGGCTACAAAGCGTTTCTTTGCAGTGGATCCACGCCAATGGAGGAGGGGCCAACCACTTTGGAAGTGCAACCAAATTTGGACACTGTGCCTTTTTGTAGACTGCATCAATTTGGCTACCTTCGTCCTCCAAGAGGACGGCCGCAACCCAGAACTGCATAATCAGGAGGAGACTATAGGGAACTGCCGACAGGATGTTTGTGCTCCACCGGGAAGGCGCTAGAATTGACTGTGGATTTCCGATTGCTAGGAGCCCATGCCGGACCAGGGCTATGTGTCAGGCCTGGCCTAGGCTCATCCACTCCCGCTCGAATAGATTGTCGAATACACTATAACATGGCTATGCAAGTGCGCACCTCAAACTCCATAGACCAAAGGAAATCGGCCGAAAAGAGGACCCACATTCAACGTGTACCTGCTTACTCTCAAATACGCCCACCTTCATGCCACAGGGCATGCTAGGAGATATTTTTGTTTCACCATGTTTCACCAGGGCCACGCATGTCTGTGGATAGTGACCCATGATGACTGCTCTATCCATCCGACTTTGCGTACTTGCACACCCCCCAAGCTCCCGCTGCTGCCTGCCATGGAGCCTAATGGGTGGGTGGGTGGCCTCCCCCGGATGAGGGAGGTTTGTAGGTTGCCTGCAGCCACGCTTGCTTTGCAATGTCCATCGCCCTATTGCCCGCGACCGGCCACAGTCGCCTCTGCTTGTGCAGCCGTGTGTAATAGCTGTGCCCTTAGGCAGGCTGTTTTCCAAGGCCAGAATAGCATTGCAACCACAGATGACCGTAAAAGATCATAACAGATTTGAATTGCTGCAAACAGTCCGCTGAAACGGTCGTGCGTTCGAATATTGCTGAAGTGCTTGCAACCTAACCTGGCAAGGGCTGACCTGTCCCTTGTCCGCTCCTGAAGGCCACTGGTGAATGTCCCATTACATCGTATGGCAAATTTCGTGAATTCAGGCCCGATTAGTTAGTTAAACGATCTTTCATGTCTCACCAGTCTCACCTTAGTACAGTTGGAAACTCTGCTCACATTGGTTCAAGGGGTCTTTTGGGGCTTGTTTTGGGGGTGTTTTTTGTGTGGTTTTTGTTGTTGTGCTGGTTCTCTTGTGGTTTTGCTCCCCTTACCAATATGCAGAGTCTCCATCCTTCACATGATGACCTGTGCACACCGCACACATGGCGTCCGTACTTGGGTGTTGGAAGGCTCAAACACATTGATACCAGGTATCTATGGATGCAATTGGAGATCAAGAAGGAGACCCTGGTTATGGATGGCATCCCAACCTTGTGGAACGTTGCTGATCTGGGAACCAAACGGCTCAGCAAGGTGCGAAGAGAGTTCCCGATGTTTCTCATTGGGATTGTGGAGTTCCACGCAGAGGACGGTGACGCGGTCTTTTCCAAGGTTGGGGAAGAAACCTTCAACCAGGAGGTTGCCAAGAAAGTCGTGGCCAAACAGATGAAGCGGGTGAAGAGAGAGATGGTGAATGCTGTGATTGAAGGGACGTCCAACCTGTCCTCAAAGATGCCTGCGAGTGTGGTGAAAATGGTGACGTTGCTTCTTCTCCAACCTGTTGCTTTCGGAGGTGAAGGCAATGGTGGCTATGAGGAGAAGAATGAGCAGTTCACGAAGGTTGGTGGTTGGGAGAACTGCTTGATGATGATTGTCTGCAGCCTCATCGTGTTTGCCTTGGCATTTGCTGTGGCTGTGCTTATCGATTGCGAGTGGGCATATTCCTAAGAACTTTGGCCCGCTTTGTGCGACAAGAAAAGGATCATGGAGCTACAGCGTGAACAAGATCACCAAAAAACCCTGAGGAACTTTTGAGAGTACGGACTGGTCATGAGGACGATGGGTGATGGAGTTCGAGGTGGAGAATGGCAACAAGCACCCAGACCTCCATGGCCTGAACCTTTGAGGAGGCTGATCCTGACCGGATTTTGAATGTCCAGATGAGAGAAGAAGGACCAGTTGCAGCTGATGGACAAACAGGTGCGAATTCCCAGCTAGTCGAACCAGAGCCCGAGGAACAAGAGTTTGAACCTGGAGAGGACGATTTGTCTTCAAAGGAGCCGGAAGGAGCAGAGAACATGGTGATGGATTGGAACCCAGATGTAGGAAGGATGCAGAACTTTGGGCTGCTGGAGGATTCAGATGATGCCTACAGCAGCGAGGAGTACTTCCTGGTGACACCGGGGGCAGCTACAGGAGAAGGTACCGGAGGACCAACTCTGAGCGAGAAGAAGATGAAGAAAATGAGGAAACTCAGATGGAAGTTGAGCGAGGAGGAGAAGAGCAGGCTCAAATGGAAGTGGATGAAGTTGGAGGACGAGATGCCTCAGCTGAGGTAGATCGAAGCCGCCCACCAAGAGACGCGGATTGGTGGGACCTTGAGACCCTACTGCGGTACCAGAAGGATTCCGCACAAGAACGGCGCGCTCGAAAGCTGAAGGATGCTGGAATCTTTCCCATCCAGTTGCTGAAAGAGTTTTCGCACACCCGCCTTGCAGCAGAGCACTCAGCCATGTTTCCACATATGGCATTTGACCATATCCTGAGTTGGAATCAGGAGGAGCGAACGGGATTTGCACAGTTCGCGGTGATTGTGATTAGCTCCCAATGGGAGGATGACTGGGAAGCCAGGCTGCAGAGGTTCTATGAGACTGGAGAAGTCTAGAGTGGTGAAGGATGCCACTCATTTCGTAGCAGCCTTCAGGTGGAGAGTGTCAAAGACTTCACCTTTTGTTCACCCCGGCCAACGAAGTGGCCCAAGTTCCCTTGGAGGAAAAAGGGTTCCGCGCGTTTGCCATCTAAGTCCCCATGTCCAGAGCCAGTGGCCTGTTCTGGCAGAGATCCAACCAACTGAGTCTTCGAAAAGGAGCGGAAACTCCACAGACGAATTTGAGGAACTTAGCCAAGTTGTCTCCACTTGTGTTCGATAGCCCTTCTTGCTCCCCTTGTGTGCCATGGTTCTGGTGGATGCTGGCCTGAGATGAGTCTTGTCTCCCATTGTTTCTCATCACTTTTCTGCATGGTGGACTAAAACAATTTTGTTTTGTTTGCGTTTGTCTTCCATTTTCTGGAGGCTAGGCTGAGGTGATCCTGATTTGTCTCTCCTTGTTGTTCCACTCTGTTTTTCATGGCCGACCTGGCTGAAATAGTTCTCTTGCGTATCCCTCCGTCGCTCATAGCTCTTCTTGGGTGATGAAGTTGGAACATTTTGCCGTGTCTCCCTCTGTTTTTTCATCTCAAAAGGGCTGTGAGCGGGTTACGAAGGGCTCTTCTCCTGTGGCTCCTGGACCTCCAGCGTCGGGTTTGGGCTGATTCTTTTTTGTGTTTCTTTGTCGTGTTCGTTTCCGAAGGCTTGAAACTGGGGACACAAACTTTCATGGTTCGCTAACAACAGAAAAATCAGATTGCCGTTGTTGCTTGGGGTCGATGCTGGAAGCTACCATGAAATGACATTGTTAGTCTTTTGTCCCACATGTTTTACTTGTTGAGGTTCTTAGCTGTTCATTGGCACATTGGTTTGATTGTGTATTGAAATGTGTATTTGCTGGTCGATGTGGTGTGAAGTGGATGTGGTGTGCCCGTCGCTGATGCGTGTTTTTTGTCGCATCATTTCGGCAGTTCCCCCCGTATGTTGCACTTGTAGCATCATTTTGATTCACTGTTGCTTTGGACAATTTCAATGCAACAACTACATAAGTTGCGTTTTGTGGGCCAATGTCGGCATGTGGATTCAAACACGTTTGCTTTTCGGAACCAGTTTTTGAAGTGTAACTGGCTTGGCATTTGTTCAATACATTGTCGTTTTGATTGTGTTAACTGTATTTTTTGTTCAGCTTGACAATGCCAAAGTCAAGACCATGCTTGCAATCCCGACGCGTGGACAGTGGCTCCTACTCAAGAATTTATCGCATATTTTGGACCGAAGGAAGCGCGCGAAGTGCAGCTTCTTCGATGGGGCTTTATCGAAAAACACAGATCACATTTCGTTTCAGGTCCACCCTCAAATTTTGTGTTGAACCAAACTTTAAGTCCATAAATTTATGAACTATTGGACAATTCCAGCTTTGTGCATGATTGTTGCAAATCCGTGCACTCCTATGTTGTGGTGATTTTTGCGCAATGAGCTCGAAACGCTCCAAGAGGAGGAAAGAAGTCAAAAACAAGGAGGCTGATTTTTGATGTCAACAAAAAATTGCTGGCAGCACAAAGGTTTTTCTGCAGCACAAAAGGGACAAACAGCTTTCATTGTGCGTACAATGTACATTGCGAAGGTCAAGAAGGACTTGACGCCACAGTTTGTCAACTGCGACCTGGCAGACAACAAGTACTCTGGGATAATCCGCGAGGAGCTTCGTTTTTGCAATGTGAGAACATTGATGTTTGATGTCAGATGTGATTTGTAACATTTTTTAGAACCAGAAAACATACAGCTACATTCGAGCAGAAAGTGGGTTGAAGTTAAGGGCCTGGACATATCATTGCCAGAATCTTTTGGACAGTTTCACTTGTGTCATTCATTGCTGTTGATGCTAGGACCTGCTGGGGTCACAGTTTCTTGAGGGAACCACCTCCACATACATTTGGCGTGGTTCTTACGTAGATTTGATCTGTGATTCCAAGAGTGCATCATGAAAGGCAGGTTATGATAAGGTTCGGGTTGAATAAGGTCCACAGGAACAAAGTATGAAGGGCCGGATGCCCCAGGCACAACTAACTAACAGGCGGAATTCAGATGTCCCTGGACTGAGGCCGTTTGTCGCAAGTCAGATTGAAGGTCGTGGTACGTGGGCTTGGCAACGATTAATGATTATAGCTTGAGGTACAATCAAATCTGGAGGATTCAAGTGTTCTTTTGATGCCGGGCTCTTTTTTTTTTTTTTTCGGCGCTTTCCGCGATGCTTTTCAGAATTGACATCAACTAAGTTGTTGTTCTTTGTTTTTTTCCCACTGTATCATTTGCTCGCCACCGGACCACGGAACGTTGAAGAGGATGAAGCAAAGAGTTCCAACCTTTCCCTTTCCTTTCCGCTGGCAGATTGCTTTCAGGGAAGGAGAAACAAGTGAAGCTCTAGTTTAGCTTTCATGGGTGCGGATTCTAAAATACGATATTCAATTGCACAATTGCACAAGGCCTGAATACGAATAGCATTCCAACAATCACCAAGTGGTTTGCTTTTGCGCATTTTATTCAAGAACTCCTTGTGTGTTCATCTGACAATGATAAGATATGCCAGGTTTGTCTGGCCAGATGGCTCTAAATACGAGGCCCTTGGAGAGTGTGTTTAGACAAAGTGCACAAAATGTCTCGACATTTGGTCAGGGCGAGCTGCTGGGTGGAAGACGAAATGGTGAAGGATGCTACCAATCCCATGACAGCTGCCTCCTTGGTTTTCTTCCTTTCCTTTTGCAACTAGAAAAGATCCACCCCAGGCAAGACACGCTATGAGGGCCAGTGGCTTGATGGCAAGCGCCATGGGCCGACCACCAAGACCTAAATCATGGCATTGCATTTGGTTGCAGTTTGGGCAGACTTTAGATTTTAGATGGTACTCTTTCTCGAGGCAAGGAAAACTTACGTACAGCTCCGATGGTCCTTCCTTCTACGATGGTGGTTGGCAGGCGAGAGAGAGAGAGAGAGAGATAGAGCACCTTCAGCGAGCAGTTGATAGGCTGGTCAGAAGCATGGCTATGGCAAGCAGCCGCATATCTGAGAACCTGGAAAGTCGTATTAATATTTGTTGACCATCATAGACTGTCATAGACGTTTGTCATTCATAGATTGAAATGTTCTACCGCAGTGTTGCCGGCAGATTGTTGGTTTTTCCTAGGTTGTGGCCAAGTGGAAACTGCTATGAGGGTGAGTGGAAGCAGTCCCCTTGGATGAAGCCATTGGACCACAGACAGAAAGTCGGGAAATCTGCTGAGGCTTGGAAAAATGCATGGCTATGGCACCATGATTTGGAAGAACGGCAGCAGCAACTTGGCTGAAGCAAAGGGTGTGAGAGCAAAACAAGCTCGAGTTGTGAAAGCTTGCCAAGATGCCGAAATCTACACGGGCGAGTGGGTGGTTCCAAGCTCAGCTTCATCTCAGAGCGAATCCTGCACAGAAAGAACCCTCACGAGCATTTTGTAAGGAAAACTGCCCGCATGGTCCCCTCCCCAGATCATATCAGTGCTAATGTTTGCACCACTTGTGTGCTGCTTTTCCTATTCGAGAGTTGATAAGGCCAAGGCACCCACACGTGGCTGACACTTGACCGTCCTGATTCAACTACTGACGCCTGGCAAAAAATAACAATGTTCCCCCACTCCCTTGTGCCAGTGATAAAATGTGTGACCAAGGAAAGCTGGCTCAATCAACCTTCACCACCACCCTCTGCTGGGCAGATTGGGCAGGCGGATTGTCACTGTCACAGAAGCTTTGCTCTCTTTCATCTGTGTGAGGGTGTGCATGGTGTACGTAGCATTGGGTTGGTGCCTCCACAGGAGCCCAGTTCCAAACAGCTGTGCTTGCTTGTTCTCCTTGCCAGCAAAGAAGCAAATGAAGCAAAGCTGTAGATTCACGTGTAGCTGGAGGCCATCGCTATTAGGTTGGAGGCCATCGCTTTTAGGTTGGAGGCCGTTGCTATTAGGTTGGAGGCCATCGCTATTAGCGTGGAGGCCATCGCTATTAGGTTGGATGCCATCGCTATTAGGTTGGAGGCCATCGGTCTTAGGTTGGAGGCCATGGCTCTTAGGTTGTAGGCCATGGCTCTTAGGTTGTAGGCCGTCGCCATTAGGTTGGAGGCCATCGCTATTAGGTTGGCGGCCATCACTATTAGGTTGGAGGCCATCGCTCTTAGGTTGGAGGCCATCGCTCTTAGGTTGGAGGCCATCGCTATTAGGTTGGCGGCCATCACTGTTAGGTTGGAGGCTATCGCTCTTGCGTTGGAGGCCATCGCTGTTAGGTTGGAGGCCATCGCTATTAGGTTGGAGGCCATCGGTATTGCATATGCGCATTTTTGACGATTGAGGAGCTTCGGCGACATGAAGCGCAGATGCATGCTACACAACAGTTCCTCAGCAGGCAAAAAATGCTGTAGGCAACAGGGCCATGGAAGAGTACGACATTTTTGTAGCCTGTGAGGCTTAGGCTTAGCATATCTGACACTTACGTGATGTCGCTTGGGCTTTTACAAATTCAACAAAAGACCAATGGCGGGCTCAACAGGTGATGAGCATGCAAAGGTCACACAATGGGACACACTTTTTTCTGCAGCGGCAGCAGCAGCAGCAGGAGGAGCAGCAGGAGCAGCAGCAGCA